ATAAATCAAACAATCATGTTTTATAATTTATTACAATTTCTTGTCAGATATGACATACTAATTTAAATGTTATCATAGTTAGAAAGTTAACCTCTTATAATCACTTACATAAGAATTCATGACGACAATTATACAAGTGGATATCGGTTAAAAAATGGCATTTATTAATGACACAACTACATGTAATAGAAAAAATATTGATAATTATAGAACATTATTGAAATTAAGAAATTATAAAGAAACTAAGGTTTCAACGCCCTCAAAGTTAACCTGAAGTTAGATGAATGTTGGCTATCTATATGGGTCCCTTTTGGTCATTTAGCTCTTACCGTTTTTAAGTATTTATGCATCCCTGGTTTTCAAATGTTTCCTGATGAAGGTAAATCAAGAAAAAATGCTTCGGACGCATGCAATTTATAAAGTATTATATTAGGATATTTTGCATTTTAAGAAAATTCAATTTTTTTACTCTTTAATAGAATATGAAAGGTATAATTTAATAGAACAATTGCAAGACAATTTAGTGAAAGTCTATCTTCGGTGTAGATGAAAGAATGTAACCAAACAACTCTTGCTGTTTAATCGTATACTATGCAATTTCTTTGTTTTATATAAGATATGTGGTCGCTTATCATGAATTGCTTTATAATATGGTCAACAAAAATTATATGCTTTGTTCACATTTCTAAAGCGTTGGAGATTTCCGTGCATTATTGAATACGTGTATATCGTGAAAACGTATGATACCAATTTCAGTACACACGACACGTATTTCTGGAGTTAAGTTTGAATTAAAAAAAAAGGTTTTTGAAGTCAAACGCATAAAACGTCTGTGAGCAACAAAATCAAATCAGCCTAAAGTGAACAGCTAAACCCATCTATGGTCCTCATTGCCTGAGTGTGTAAAATCTTACTCCGTCTTTATCCATCATTGCCTAAGTGAGTGACATCTTAAAACGTCTATAGCCATCTTTGCCTGAGTAAGTAACAGCTTAACCTGCCTATAGTCATCATTGCCTGAGTGAGTAACATCTAAACCCGTCTATAGTCATCATTGCCTGAGTGAGCAACATCTTAACCCATCTATAGTCATCATTGTCTCAGCAAGTAACATCTGAACCTGTCTATAGTCATTATTGCCTAAGTGAGTAACATCAAAACCCGTCTATAGTCAGCATTGCCTTAGTGAGCAAAGGCCAAACCAGTCTATAGTCATCATTGCCTGAGTGAGCAACATCTTAATCCATCTATAGTCATCATTGTCTCAGCAAGTTACATCTGAACCCGTCTATAGTCTTTATTGCCTAAGTAAGTAACATCTAAACCCGTCTATAGTCATTATTGCCTAAGTGAGTAACATCTAAACCCGTCTATAGTCATCATTGCCTGAGTGAGCAACATCTTAACCCCTCTATAGTCACCATTGCCTGAGTGAGCAACATCTTAACCCCCTCTATAGTCATCATTACCTGACTGAGCAACATCTTAACAGTCTACATCACCTGGGTGAGTGAGCAACAGTTAAACCATCTATAGTCATCATTGTCTCAGCAAGTTACATCTGAACCCGTCTATAGTCTTTATTGCCTAAGTAAGTAACATCTAAACCCGTCTATAGTCATTATTGCCTAAGTGAGTAACATCTAAACCCGTCTATAGTCATCATTGCCTGAGTGAGCAACATCTTAACCCCTCTATAGTCATCATTGCCTGAGTGAGTAACATCTTAACCCGTCTATAGCCATCATTGCCTGAGTGAGCAACATCTTCACTCATTTATAGTCATAATTGCCTGAGTGAGTAACATCTGAAACCCTCTATAGTCACCATAGCCTGAGTGAGCATCATCTAAACCCGTCTATTATCGTCGTTGAATGACGAGCAACAGTTAAACCAGTCTATAGTCATCATTGCCTAAGTGAGCAACATCTAAACTCCTCTATAGTCATCATTGCCTGAGTGAGCAACATCTTAACCCCTCTATAGTCATCATTGCCTGAGTGAGCAACATCTAAATCGTCTACAGTCATCATCACCTGAGTTAGCATCATCTAAACCCGTCTATAGTCATCGTTGTCTGAGTGAGCAACAGCTAAACCAGTCTATAGTCATCATTTCCAGAGTGAGCAACATCTAATAGATATAAGAAGATGTGGTATGAGTGCCAATGAGACAACTCTCCATCCAAGTCAAAATTTATAAAAGTAAACCATTAAAGGTCAAAGTACGGTCTTCAACACGGAGCCTTGGCTTACACCGAACAGCAAGCTATAAAGGGCCCCAAAAATTACAAGTGTAAAACCATTCAAACCCGACTTCAGTCACCATCACCTGAGTGAGCATCATCTAAACCCGTCTATAGTCATCGTTGTCTGAGTGAGCAACAGCTAAACCAGTTTATAGTCATCATTGTCTGACTGAGCAACATCTAAACCCGTCTGTAGTCATCATTGTCTGGATGAGTAACATATAAACTCGTCCATATTCATCATTGCCTGAGTGAGTTACATCTAAACCCGTCTATAGTCATCATTTTCTGAGTGAGTACATGTAACATCTACACCCGTCTATAGTCATCATTGTCTATTTGAGGAACATCTAAACCCGTCTGTAGTCATCATTTTCTGAGTGAGTAACATCTTACCCAACTATAGTCATAATTGTCTGAGTGAGTAAAACCTTAACTCGTCTATAGTCACCATTGATTGAGAGAATAACAGCTTTACCCGTCTATAGTCATTCTATGAGTGAGTAACAGCTTCACCCGTCTTTAGTCATCATTGTCTGAGTGAGTTGCTTTCAATAGTTACATAATTCAAAAACAAAAACAATTAGAAGAGGATCTGCGCACACTTCTTCAGTGTTATAAAACGGTAAATGACTATCGACGCACTGTGTCACCTTAATCTGACTTCAGATTGTCGAATGTTCTCTGATTCATCGCTAAAGACTTCACAGTGACAGCCGACCTGAATAACATCAATAAAATTACAGTTCCTACGATATATGGTGATTTCCCGGTATATTATTGAAAGTTGTCCCTCAATGGTCATAATAAAAGTTCAACCCAGTTAAGTACAGGCTAATGATTGGTCAATGAAACAACTTTACGTAATGAATCAATGCTGTGCATAATGAATGAGATAATGGGTAAACTTTAGTGACTTTTTAAATATCAAAATAGGGAGGTGTGGTGACAACTATCCACCAGAGTTCAAACGTCTATAGTCATTGTATCTGAGTGAGCAACAGCTAAACCAGTCTATAGTCATCATTTCAAGAGTGAGCAACATCTAAACCCGTCTTCAGTCACCATCACCTGAGTGAGCAACATCTAAACCCGTCTATAGTCATCGTTGTCTGAGTGAGCAACAGCTAAACCAGTCTATAGTCATCATTTCAAGAGTGAGCAACATCTAAACCCGTCTTCAGTCACCATCACCTGAGTGAGCAACATCTAAACCCGTCTATAGTCATCATTGTCTGACTGAGAAATATCTTAACCCGTCGGTAGATCTCACTATCTTAGTAAGCAACATCTAAACCCGTGTATAGTCATCATTGTCTGGATGAGTAACATCTTAACTCGTCCATATTCATCATTGCCTGAGTGAGTTACATCTAAACCCGTCTATAGTCATCATTTTCTGAGTGAGTACATGTAACATCTTAACCCGTCTATAGTCATCATTGTCTGATTGAGGAACATCTTAACCCGTCTGTAGTCATCATTTTCTGAGTGAGTAACATCTTACCCAACTATAGTCATAATTGTCTGAGTAAGTAAAACCTTACCCCGTCTATAGTCATCATTGTTTGAGTGAATAACAGCTTAACCCGTCTATAGTCATTCTATGAGTGAGTAACAGCTTCACCCGTCTTTAGTCATCATTGTCTGAGTGAGTTGCTTTCAATATTTACATAATTCAAAAACAAAAACAATTAGAACAGGATCTGCACACACTTCTTCAGTGTTAAGAACGGTAAATGACTATCGACGCACTGTGTCACCTTAATCTGACTTCAGATTGTCGAATGTTCTCTGATTCATCGCTAAAGACTTCACAGTGACAGCCGACCTGAATAACATCAATAAAATTTCAGTTCCTACGATATATGGTGATTTCCCGGTATATTATTGAAATTTGTCCCTCAATGGTCATAATAAAAGTTCAACCCAGTAAAGTACAGGCTAATGATTGGTCAATGAAACCACTTTACGTAATGAATCAATGCTGTGCATAATGAATGAGATAATGGGTAAACTTGAGTGACTTTTTAAATATAAAAATAGGGAGGTGTGGTGACAACTATCCACCAGAGTTCAAACGACGAAGATACTAGTAATTATTAGCTTGTCATAATGACAATTATCATACTTTGTAATTATTCCGCAAACTAATTATAGTATTAAGTATTGCTAGTGTTTTATCAAACAAATATATTAATTAACATTTGGTTAAGAATGAATTAATTAAAGGTCATTGAAAGATGCACATCTGCATTTAGGATTTCATAATGACTACATGTAGTTGCGGTTTATGTTTACATCCTTTTTCTGTTCTAAAAGTATCTTGATAAAAATACGGAACTCGACATAATAAAATAGTACCGTTATAGGAAAAAACTTGTTTACATATTACTCTGAGAAATATATGTTAAAAAGTTCTGTTATAATGAAAGAATAAATCAATAAGGCGTCTTTCTATCAAAATATAAGATATCAGTTAATTAATTCTTTCTATTTTTATAGTTAAAAGTCATTCTTACATGTCAACTCTCAATACAACATTATTCAAAAAATATTAATATTTCACCACTTTTCGTTATATATTATGCTTTTTATTACTAATTAAATTTTGCATTTGACAATGTCATTTCTTATCATTCACCTTACAGTTTGAAATTAATCAAAATCATTTACCACAACCACATTTTAGTGATATAATTGATACGTATTGTTATGAGCATGCAAATAAGACATAAAAACACGCCCCAATTCGGACTTCTTAATATCAGTAAACATATAATACAGGTTTTGTATATTTGGGATTATTTGATCTTCCACTTTAGACCGGTAGAATTATTTGATCATCCACTTAAGACCGGGAAGGATGAAACACATTTTACTCTGTGTTTTTCTTATTGTTACCTTGCTGCTTGTGTGTGGTAAGTTATTAGACTTATGTTTATCAAATGCTTATATGTTGTTAAATTTGTTTTGTTGCCGAATTTATATTACTTTAATTCCAGAATTCAAATCTATTTTTATAATTGTTTTCCATATTGCTAGAAATAAATTATACATAATTTAAAATAATAGGATAAAAAGTGCGTCCTTGTTGTAGTACTCATTAAAACCTTTAGTGTAACAATGTTTATTGTATGTGTTAATCATAACATAACATTTGCGAATAAAATAGTTGATTAGAACCGAAAAAAGGAAAAATACCTTTTCCAAATTCCTCTCCTATATATGATTAAATAATTGATGGATGGCGTCACTTATACATTTTTACGGAACTAAGAAATTATTTTTGAACACACATTCATTACAGTAATACAAAACATTTCTTATTTAGCGGTGTACATATTGCAATACTTGCTGTGTTTTTCAAGGTTAAATTGACGATGTTAAACATTCTAAAATAAGAATACATTTTCTGTGGGAAAACTGATACTGAAGAACGATATAGTTATCCCATTATTGTATGTTTTATTAAAAAAAAAAACGCTTATTGTTGACCCTTCTAGAGCTCCTGAATTGACCCCACGTTTTTTTTTCTTGAGATTCGTATTGCACAATCTTGTCAGTTTCCTATACAATTTTTTGTGGATTGTGGATTGTTTGTTGTTTACCTTTTTGCCCCTTTTTTTTCTCCTTTTTGACCATGATGTTAGTTTTTGAACTACGGTTTTGTGTTGCCTTTTTCATACCGGGTATCCCGATCCGAATTCCGCGGAGGGATCCGAGTCCCGAGGAGTTATTACAATTTGTTAATTAACAAGGTATCTTCTTATTTCTTTTACTCCCGTTTTAATTTTAGACACATTCATATTTATAACAAAAATGTCCTGCTTGCAGAAAGTTATCTAATTTATTATCATATATGTAAATAGGAAATGAAAGTTATTGAAAAGGCATTTTCCAGATTTTTGTCAGCATTTTAAAGTAAGAACATAAAAGACCCCATAGATACATAATTTGAAAAAAAATGTTTACATGAGTGAAATCACAAACTGACCAATAATATCTATGCTGAAAAAAAATGCAACACAGAAGCCACCAAAATTGAAATTTGAACAAACACGTAAATGACATAATAAACCAATTATAAACTAATACCACCTCTCTTTCCCTCAATGACACACATGCACTTAATACACACAATCAAATCGTGCAAACCTTTATAGCTTGCTGTTCGGTGTGAGCCAATGCTCCGTGTTGAAGGGTCGTACCTTGACCTATAATGGTTTACTTTTATAAATTGTAACTTGGATGGAGAGTTGTCTCTTTGGCACTCATACCACATCTTCCTATATCTATAAACACACGTTTGCTTAAATCGTAGAAATAACAAAATGGACATGTGTATCGTACAACCAAAATAAACTGAAATACTATATCAAGTCATTTAGAACATAAAAAAACTCTGTAAACATGACATTGAAATGTTTTAAACACCTTTTTCCGTTTCCGGAAAGGATGATTTCCCAATTAAATAATCACGTGAAATATAATTTCTATTGCCACAAACATATTACACATATGTTTTGTTGGATATTATCTATCTGACTTGGTGTTGTTTTTTGTTACAGACCACCTATACTTTTCACCTTTTGCAACAATTTTAACCTTATAATGTCAAAAGCATTAGATTTCAGGGTTGAGGTGTTCATTTGTATCATTGTATTTTTTTGGGTTATTTCAGTGAAATTCTGTCTGTTGTTATCTTGTGAATGAATGACTGTTGATTTATTTGTTGCATTAATACGCAGTGGCAAATATTTCATGCAAATTCAGAAAGAGAACAAACTAACAATGAATCTGATAGTTTCACAGCCAAATATGTGCATGTTAAGGTTCTAACAATATGTTAACTTATTTCTAAACAAGTCATCAAAATATAAACGCAATTTTGTTTAATTTTGAATATTTGTCCCAAAAATGTACCAGAGGAACATCGTTAACCGAAACCAAAATTTTGTTGAAAGTAAAGCTATGTATTGTCTTTCAAATACAAATTCATTCATTTTGGTTAGCGGTGTCCTTCGATGCAAATTTAAAAAAAAAACATGAAATAATTGCTTTTATTTTTATCCCCATTGAAGTATACAAATAATTTATGGACAACTAATGATTTCAGATGGTCAAGTGATACCCGGTACCTGTCGATGTTTCCCAGAGGATTGCCCTGATCCGTTTGAAGAAGTATACTACCCTGGAGACTGTGAGGGGTACAACAACTATTATAGACGTATTTATTACAAGCGATGCTGTTTAATGAAGTTTTGGTACGTTGACTGACCATAGAAAATCCCAAAAACGAATTGGTACGTATATCTAGTTTCAATGATATTTCATAAATATTCATCTTTTGCCTTTCAAACAAGAATGTATTATAAAATGGATGTTCAAACTACTAGTACTACACAAACGTTTTTGGATATCAAAAGCTGTAGTTCCAATACGTTTTGTATTATTTGTAAGATGATAACAAGTCATATTACAGTATTGTCGTCTGTTTATGTAGTTCATACGTGTTTCTCGTTTTTATATAGATTAGACCTTTGGTTTTTCCGTTTGAATGGTTTTACACTAGTAATTTTTTGGGGCCCTTTATAGCTTGCTGTTCGGTGTGAGCCAATGCTCCGTGTTGAAGACCGTACCTTGACCTATAATGGTTTATTTTTATAAATTGTAACTTGGATGAAGAGTTGTCTCATTGGCACTCATACCACATCTTCCTATATCTAATAACAAGGCCCATTGAACAGTTGTTATTTTAATTTTTTCTCTAACGTGAAAAAGATGCACTAAATGGGAGCTAATTTGTCGCTAGGCTTGATTTTTTCGTTGTATTTTTATAAAGATTTTTACAGTCTTGTTTTATACTGTACATGTGCAATGCTATTCCCTATTAAGAAAATGTCCTATGGATGTTGATTCGCAAGCTATTACGTTTAAAACATGTCACTAGTGGAGCAGGATCTTCATACCCTTCTGGAGCACCTGAGATCAACCCTAGTTTTGGCAGGGTTCCTGTTGCTCAGTTTTAAGTTTTATTTGTAGTATTTTGTGGACTTTACTTTTTGAAATGGCATTTTCAGTTTATCTTCGACTTATGCGTTTTGATTGTCCACTTGGTAAAAAACCTCCTCATTTTTGTTACATTGGTTTCATAAAAAACAAATATTTGTCTTCTTCGATTTATGATTTTTTTTATTCTTATCTCATATACTTGTAGTTTTCATACAAATATAACATAAATTTAATCTCTTTTTTTATTTTGCAGAGTAAAGATACAACGGGTAGAAAGAGGAAAGCCTCACCATGGGTGGAATTATTTGACACAAAGGGATTGTTAACTTTGTTAAATGCATTTTTGTACTACTGTTTGTATTGTTGTTCAATAAATACGTTATTACAACACAGTTTTATAATTTCTAAATGAACGTTTCAAGGAAGAAGCATACCATTATTTAGAGATGTGTCTTCTCGGACATTTCATTGGAAGGATATTAAAAAAATCACATTCTCTTTCCCTCTTAAGAGTAATATCATTTTCAAACTTGTACTATTGTACAGAAACTGAGATTGAAACTCCCTCAGTTTAAAATGATCTAAGACTACGATTTTGGTCCCCGTTTAGGTTTTGATGCATTGGTTTGCTGATGGCCACTAAAACTCTCGCTCTAGTGGGATGAATATTGTTCCAGTAGAACAGTTTCTTGAGCTATGAAATCGGTATCAACAATAACTGTTTGTATTGTTTACCTATTTCCAGTGCTTACTTTGGAAAATGGTGGGAGGGGATGAATTGCATGTGGATGAAAAAATTAAAATCTAAATCCTAAGAACAGGATAAATACGAGTAAATCTAGTCCGTTGTTATGGCAAACGAGAAATCGAAATTTAAACCCAAAGATCAGGCACTATAGTAAACTATTTTGAATTGAAATAGTCATTTTGATATGAACAACAAATAAAAGAGCGAACAATACTTTGTTAGGACATTTTCAGCCTTTTAGACTTATACACTGCTATAAATTCAGTACCATTCTGACAATTAAGTTGCTATTTATTTAGGCTCGTGTTATTTTAACATCTATATAAATGTTTAAGGCTAAATTGCATTCACTAGATATAATAGAAAGGACATATGCGAGAACATCTGTATCAACGAAACGACTGCAAAGACAAATAAGAAATCAAAATTTAAATCCAAGCATCATGATCATGACACAAAGGACACATACGAGAAAATCTATACCAACGATACGATTGCACAGACATACGAGAAATCTAAATCTAAATTCAAAGAAAAGAACACATGCGATAAAATATAGTCCAACGATACGGTTGCGGACACAAACAAGAATTTAAATATAAATCTAAAATATCCGAACAAATACGAGAAAATCTAGATCAAAGAGACTTTTACACAGACAAAAAAGAAACCTAAATCTAAATTCAAAGAAAAGAACACATACGATAAAATCTAGACCAACAATACGGTTGCACAGACAAACAAAAAATCTAAATCTAAATCCAAAAGATCACAACAAATTTGGCACACACGAAATCTAGATCGGTGGAACAGAAAATCAAGAAAAAAAAAATAAATCCAAAGAATAGGACAAATGAAACAAAGGAAAATTTTGCACATACAAACAAGAAATAAAAAAACGGAACCCAACACACAGGACACGGTTGCACAAACAACAAGAGAAGTTACATAACTAGCAGTGCATTGTAATCAATGAACACATTTTCAATGATGCTGACTGCTTACTTGTAAGATGTAGGGTTTATTTTTTTACTAGTTTACTAATTTGTTTCTCAGAATATTACTCTTTGCTTTGCCAAAATGTTCAATTTGTGAGGGATATCGAGTTTATCCCTTTTTGAGGCAATTTGGAATTCCCACAATCGGTTATCGATTTCATCCGAGTATTATAATGAAGCAGCGTCCGCGTTTTTGCTTCTTAAATAATTAAACTTTCAGTCGTTGAACTAGATACCGTGATCAAAGAAACATCATTTCATTTATGCCGATTTGAAATATATAGATTTAACAACATGTAAAAATTTGGTAAAATAACAATAACAAAAGAAACCAAAAGATTTCCAGTTTTACACTAAAACAAACACAAAGGATTGTCTGAGAAAAACTTTACTTAAATCATAACCTCTCCTGTTTTAAAACCTTCAATATAAGAGAATGATGTCAGATATTAATCCTCTGCTTTCAGAAAACAGTGCATATACCACAAGGAATTGATCTGTGAATAGCTCTGGTTATTCGTCAATATCGTCAACGCTTGTTAAAAGCTTTCACGTCATGACAAATTTCAAAGTGGAAACGGTGATTTACCAAATTGAGAAATCGCATACTAGTAGTGCTTAGCTCTGTTCTCATTCGTCAACATCGTTAACGTTCATTAAAAGTTTTATCCACATGTGGCGGACGAATTTTATAGGGGCAAAGTATATTTCAGGATTTTTTCGTAAGCTTAGTAATCGGGAAGTGCATAGCTCTAGTCTTGTTTGTCGATATACCGGTAGATGAAGATCGTTAAAACTATACTGTATGAACATTTGAATGGGTTACGAATTACCTAAGATGCGAGATGTATGATGATTTTTCTCGGAGTTTTTATCCCTTGCTTTTTGAAAACAGTGCATTTAGCTAGTAGATGCATTTTGTTTCATTCGTCGATATTACCGACAATCAATAAAATCTTTGTCGTATGTAATTTTGCATGTTATGAGGAATTACATTAAGTTGATGATTCTCAAATAAATTTCGAAATCGTCTGTGAAATCTTATTTGAGCGTCGTGGACAAAGAAAATTAACATTTTTATCAATAAATTTTGTCCCCAATATTCCATGAGTGCATACCTCCAGTTGCATCTGAATGTCAATGGATTCAACCCTAGAAATAAGGAAAATCATATATCCCCTAGGTGTAAACTTAGAATAACAGAAAAGTCGTTTATACCATCCACCACCAGAGTATAGAATAATTATAACTCATCTCATATTATAAACGTAAAATAAAGGGCGAATAATTCAGAACTCTAAATTATTTGACGTAGGGTCCAGAAAATTTAAAATAATGCAAGGGACATTTCTAAATTCTGCCCTACATGAAATTCCATAAGTGAACAATCCTATATGTTTCTACGGTTCTATGGAATACCCCATTCATTACCTTTTGGAATTCTTTTATATTGCAATCAAAGAATATCTAGTCAATGAACTCACTATCATCATGGAAGTAATATATTACTTCCATGGTTGCACCAATCTGTGACGCCTTTATCTCTCTGCTTATACTAATGTGGTGTATAAAATTTAAACAACACGTTATAAATTAAATGCGCCCAAAGTATACGTTTTTCAGTCATTGTACATGTGTATTGTTAATGTAAGGAGCGGAATTAATATAAAATGTGATAACTTGTATCCAATCCTTTTGGTTAATTATTGCAAGAAAATATAGCTTTACTAAACCTGAGGTTGAGATATTTGAGGATTTCTCAGATTTTTATTCCTCACTGTGAGAAAAAGATGCAATAACCCGAATGAAAAATCGTAAGGTATAGCTTTTGTCTTGTTCGTCGATATCTCAAACACTCGTTAAAAGCATAGCTCTAGTTCAGATCCTCAATATCACGGACGCTTGTTTATAGCATGAACATTTTTATGGTAAATAACATAAAGTGTGAGATATTCGACGTGTTCTCAGATTTTGATCATTCGCTTTGAGCATGGAAGTATTATATTGACGTCAATATAATACTTCCATGATTTGAGTAAACAGCGCATTTTACCCAGCTGAAACTGTGTATCTGGTCTCATTCTTCGATATCGTCACAGCTCGTGTCGTAGAGACTTCTCCATGGGGTGACAAATTGCAAGGGTGCCTAATATATACATAATATCGACGCTTGTGAAAAGTTTATCAAAATTTGCTGTTATAAAGTTTTGAAATCATTATTCATTAAGGAATATATCTCCCTCATGTCAAGCTCGGATTCCTTGTCCGGGTTTGGGTATGCTTTAGGTCCTTTTGGTATAATCAGCTCTTCAAAATTTGTTTTGGATTTTCAAATGTTTTGCCTCGAGCAAGGGAATTGATTGTAGAAATGCGCATCTTGTGTGCAGTAATGTTGTCCGGATTTGGCTATGACATAGGCCCTTTATGGTTTAATCAGCTCTTCTAAGCTCTTATTAGGTTTTCAATTATTTTGACTTTGAGCATTTGGCCTTCTAACTGTTCTAATTCGCTGAAACTGTGTATCTGGTCTCATTCTTCGCTATCGTCACAGCTCGTGTCGTAGAGACTTCTCCATGGGGTGGCAAATTGCAAGGGTGCCTAATATATACATAATATCGACGTTTAATGAATCTTTAGCAGACGACACGCGTATCTGGAGTGCCGAATGCTATTGGACGTTTTATCTTCGAGGGTTTCACCAGTTAAGTTGTCTGCACAGCAGCCGACATGGAAGGTCATTGAAACGATATCTTTGGGTATATTTCTGTTCATAAAATGTTAAATCATTCGAAACACTGAACTCTTTCTACACCCAGGCCAAGATGGCCTTAGTAAGATTTGGTACATTTTTGAAGAGTTTGGGGTTGGCAACTTTGCAATTAATTATGCCTTCCACTTGTTTTTGATCTAGCTAATACTAGTATGTCTTTGTAGACGAAGCGCGTATTAACATTTTGATTTGTTAAATTAGTGTACTAGCTTTATGCAGAGACATATTTGTTAAATTAGTGTACTAGCTTTAAGCAGAGACATATATGTCTCTGCTTCTGCTTTATGATATCAGAAAGATGGTGAAGTCCTGAGAGATCAACTAATTAAACTTCTTCAACACACATTCCAAACAAAGCCATAATGTTGTCAATAAACTTTTTTTCATCACTCGATCAGATACATGCATACTATACATTTCTGAGACAATATCAATTACAAAATACAAAATTACCATTAATCTTACGATTTATTTGAATGCATAACAATGCTACAAAAATGGGTACGATTTGGTAGAAGTATGAGTTGGTAAAAGTACTAGTTGATAAAATTACGAGTTGGTAGTCGTAAGTGTTGGTAAAAGTACGAGTTGGCGTGTACCCAGCTATGCCTTCTCCAATTCAATGGCATGGCCGCATTAATTTCAATGGGTTAAACGTGCAGTTATCCCCAAATCCCGTTTTCTGCAGCCAAATACCACTAACGTAGAACGTGTCGCAAAATTATAAATAGGACTCCTTGCTTGTGGCTTGAAAGTGTTTTAGAAGTAGACCTGAATCTGATATGAAGAGCTAGGTAAAACTTCAGTATAAAGGTTTAGCTTGCAATACATAAGTCAGGCAATTTTTCCTAAACTATGTTTTCTGAAGCATA